GGCTAGTGGTGGCTGCAGTCAACAAATACTGGTGGAGATTTTATACTCGATTTGTCAACGTCAGAGTGACTGGCATCCGGGAGCAGGCCCAGAGAGCAGCTGTCGTGCAGGAACGGAGCGGCAGTCCCTGAACAGGGGCTGGCAAACAAATCTGGGCCTCTCCTGAGAGGGACCCAGTGACAGAGAAGCACCAGAACCTGGGACCAAACAGGTCAGTCCGGTTCCAGCAGCACCTAGCACGAGGGCCCATCTCTAAGCCTGAGTTCCGCGGAGGTGCCGTAGGTGGTAGAAGGTGTGAGGGAGGCAGCCCAGAAGCCCACGGATAACACAGCCCAGAGCCCAGGACAGGCCAACCGAGAGGCGACCCGGGACACACCACAGAATCCTGAACTCAGTGCAGGGGAACTGACTCACCGATGAGGCCGATAAACAGGAAAATCAACACTAAGTCCCATTAGACTAGGTTCTGAAGGTGCTTAAGGACTTCCTGCCCTGGTCACAAGGCTTTGGATCTGGGGCAGGGCCAGGCCCGCAGGTGGGAACAGCGTCCGCCCCAGCCGTGGCTCCCAACCCGGCAACTGGCCACGCGTGCTGTCAACCGCTGTTCACAGGGAGACTGATTCAACTGACATTTACTTTGTGCTTGTCCTCACACCCGGACAGAGATGAGAAAGAGGCAGCAGCTCGGGGGAGCAGGCCTCTGAAGCAGCCAATTGCAGTGCAAGGTGGCCAGGGCCTTAGATGGATTTGGACAACGAGCTGGGGGGGGGTGCACACAGAGGGAGGAGAACATACATCTGATGTGAAGAAGGTACCCAACAAATACCCTCTGAATGAACTAACAATTTATTATTAGTGTTGCTATCATCTTTCTTTATTTTTATTGTTTGTGTGTTTTTTTGATGCGGGGAAGGATGGCTAAAGAAGCATGTCAGAAAACAGAGAATTTTGATCCTGGCTTTGATCCCAGATGAAGAGGACAGGTTCCCACACATTGGGCTCGGGACAGGGAAGCGGTTCGGTGTGACTGCGGGGAGGCAAGGCTCGAGGCGAAGTCTAAAGAGCAAGGGGACCTGCAGACAGTATTACTCAGCTCTGCCATGTACCGAACCACCACAGAATCTCAGCGCTTGAAAAAGAAAATGAGCATTTCTTTCGTGCAAGTGCACCTTTAGGTGGCGACAGTAGTTCTGCCTGGGCCGGGGCAAGTTCAGGTGTACCCCACACATCACTGCGGGCCCGGGCCGGAGGGCGCCAGCCACGAGGGCGTGTGCTCACCCAGGAGGTCGGAAGCTCTCAGAGGAGCAAACGAAACCCCCATGCTTCTCAAAGCCTCGGGTGGGAATGAAACAGTCCATCTGTCAAAGCGGGTCACGTGGCCACAGGAGCGTGAATGGGAAAAGGCTCTTCCCCGCGCACGAGGTGGTGAGCGGCGGGAGGGAACAGTTGTTTCACAATTCTCCAACCTGGCTTGACTACCACGCACTGCTGTTTTGATTCTGGAGCAAACGGGGAGCTGCTGCTGGTTCCTCTGTTTGCGTGGGACGGTTTCCTCCTCACAGGGGTTTGCAGAACACCTGCCGCAATGTGAAGGGCACTGCCCGTGCCTGGATGCGGGGACGCACCGCTCGGTTCACACTTCGCGTTTCTGAAGGGGGGGCTAGGATTTACTTATCTCCTGCCCCAGCACCAGCACAGCCCCTGCCCCAGCGTGTGCGCACACTCTCCGCTGAATGGATAAACGGTCTTACTGTATTCTCCACGTGTGGTTAAATGTAACAGGAAATGCACATTTCTCTGCCCCCATTGCCAAGTCAAGGCAGGGTGGGTGCTGAGAGAGGAGCAGACGCAACCTGCTTGTAGGGGGAATGAAAACGCTAAGCAGGGAAACCAGTAGGAGCAAGAGCAGGTGGCCCCAACCTCAGCTGCTACGCTCAGAGCCATTTGATGAGAACCTAGAGGGACTTCCGAATGATGGACTTCCTCCAGGTAATTGTCAGCTTGGAAGATATAGATTCCTAATGACAATGACTCACATATAGCGAGTGCCTCCTGTGTGTGCAGTCTGACACTAACTGGATGCATTTTATATATGATTTCACTGAGTTGAATCCTCCCGTGCCCTGGTTGTTAACGGGGCATCACTGGAGAGAACAATAGTCCGTTTCCGTCTTTGCTGGAGCTGCATTTTCACATGCTGGTTCCGTGGCAAACCAGGACAGAAGGAGCTGCAGCGATGTAAATACGACTGAGTCATGTAAGCACAGCTGAGGAAGTCAGTAAAACGATGAAGGCGAAGTGAGGTCGGGGAACTGCAGACGGAAGGCGGGAGGTCGGCTCTCGGACCAAAGCACAGCCAGGTCAGTGGACAACAGATGAGGATAAAAGCATGAAGGGACTTTGCTTCAGAATTCCATCTATGGGGAGAGACCGAGGTCCCAGGAACGCCCTTCTGCGGCGTATCTGATCCTCAGACCCTCAGGGCAGGGATGCCCTTGTTCATGTTGATGCCCCAGAGCAAAGCACCACGCTTGGCACAGAGGGGGAGAGGGTTAAGATCATTCACCAGCCCCTCAATTAAGTTTCTGTAGGTAGTGCTTCTTCCTGTCCCCCTCTGGCAGAGTTTTCAGTGGTGGAAGCACAATCACCCCAAGGAAGCTTAGGGTAACCCTTTCCAGTATTAGAACCCAGCCTTTCCTCCCTCCTGGCCCAACGCCCCGGCCTCCAGGGAACAGCCAGCGGGCACGAGGCCGCAGGAGAGGCTCCTGCTGGGAGTGGTGCAACCCAAGGTCTCCGAGGGCTGACGTGAGAAGGGCAGGAGGGAACGCAAGGCCAGTTCTTGGTGCCATCAGAACGGCGGCTGAAGTGCCTGAGTGCTCAGTTCACCACCAGAAAGAGCAGTTGCTCCTTGCATCGGAATCACAGAAGATGGTGCAATTTAAAAAAACAAACAAAAAACGGTCCTCCTTAAGTCTAGTTCTATCAGGTTCGCCTCGAACGGAGCGCTCAGACCTGCCCTTCCACCTCTGTCTCCCGTCTCCTCCTTTCTCACGCTGTCTCTGAGGGTCCAGCTCTGTCTGCTGGGCTTTCATCTGCAAGGTCTGTCTCGAGTTGTCCCCCTTGAGTCTCAGTTGGCAAGTCCTGTTAATTCTTTAATGGAAACACAAAGGGACTTAGGAGACTGACTACCCCAGGTAACTCGCACTTTAGATGAGGGGGACAGAGAGCAAGGAGGTCAGGCAGGAAGCAAGAAGCCTGGTGCAGCCAGGACCCTGCCCGGGAGTGGTGGACTTCGAACACCAGGCTGGGCCACCGTCTCAGGACACTTCTGAACACCGTCACCATGTTGCAGCCCCAGGACACTCACTGCTGCAGCTGGACGTGATCTCTGAGGGCAAGTCCTTTGCCTGTTTTCATCTCATAATGTTCCGAGAGGCTTACATGAACCTAACCAACTTTTCAAATAGGGATCATCTGGGTAGCAATAACTCGATGTATTAAAGTGCCCACAGTCAATGCCCCCAGGTGGGGATGTGGAGGGTGGTGGTAGGCAGGACTAAGAAAGGATGAGGGTGGAGCAAGAGAGCCGGAAGAGTCCAGAAAATATAAACAAGACACATAGCTTCTAGTGGAAGAGTCAAGGGGATGCATGACCAGCGACGTGTGACAGCTCCCGGCACTGGCAGCTCCGGAGCGTTCTGCACACAGAGGACAGGGCGTGGGTTTGAAAGACTTCAGCGAACAGGTGCCGTCGAGCCTGCTGAAAACAAGTGCTCACACTCAGTAGTCTGATGAGTGTGAGTTGCACTCCAGGTAGAAGGAGGGGCGCTCAGAGGTCTGTGGACAAATGGAAAGTGTCATTCGGGGGAACTCTGAGTACTTCTGTTTGACCAGAGCGCATGGTCACTACCCGGAGGCATAACAGGGGACACGCAGGGGATAGGCAGAGTTTGCTCTACGACTTGGGCGAAGCACCTGCCATTTCTGACCTTTAGTCAGTTCATTCATATAAAAACTAAAGACTAGAGTTTCTGTCCTCCCTAGCACACAGGACTTGGCTTTAGAATTATAAAGGGGAATAGGAAGGGGCCTGAAGGTTCATCTAATCCAGAGGTTTTCAAACTGCTCTTCCAGGACTTCCTCAGGGACCTCAGGTTTGTCCAGTGGCCCTCAGGAAGGGGACCTCAGGTTCACCCAGAAGGTAGAGCTCCCGATCGATCTCCAGCTTCCATCAGAGCAGCTGCACTTTGCTCAAGTATTAGAGGAACAGGTGAGGTTCTGCTGTTAAAAGGTGAAGTTTGAGCATCGCTGGACTAGTCCCACCCTCCCACTTTGTAGATGAGGAAAACAGAGGCCGGAAGGGCAAGAAAAGGACTCCTGGGAATCGCATTGGACAACCTGGGGGCTTTGAAAAGGCAAGGGTTTCACAGTATTGAAGCCACAGGTATGTTCATTTTCGTAGGTGCCAGCCAACAAGATTTTCCACAACACTTAAAAGACAAGAGATCAAAGTGGAAAAACAAATGCTAATGCCCCCAACCCTGCTGCCCACCTGCTGGGCCCCAGAGTTTCAAAGCTCGAAGACCTCTGAGGAAAAGCCCAGCACCCCACCTCCCCTCACCTGGGCTCCCAGCTGCTTCCCTGACCACCACTCCAGCCCCTCCCTCCAGGAGCTTCCCAGAGGCACTCAGTGTTCTGCTAGGCTTGGACCAACGCGGCTCCCGGGTAGCTCTGTCCCCTAAATGGTCTCCTTACTGTGGGGACTCTGTCTGAGCCCGGGGTTAACAGCGGTGGGTGGATAACTCTTCCATTTGTTAAAAACATGTTTACAAGGTGCAGGCAGAGAAAAGGACGGAAAGTACACTCGCTTCACATTGCTGGAAATGTTTGTTAAAGTGCTCTGTGTGTCTCAGGCAGCCCACTCCAGCGTCTGCTCTCAGCTTTCCACTTTTAGAAATGAGCAGCTGGAGGAGTTATTTCCAAGTCCTGATGGGCTGACATGGCAGCTCAGCCTCGCTCCTCTCTCTTCTCCTCAGGCATTTTTTGGAGAGTTTTCCCATGAGGGAAGTGCTTCAGAGGGGAAACATGTCAGGTATGTATTCCTTGTGATTGTCTTCAGGACGGTTTGGAGCACAAAAAGTTGTAAAAGAAATGAGATGAGAAAGGAAGATTCATGCTGAGTCTGTAGCAGGAATTTGCTGCTCCGTTTGAAGAGTGAAAAGGACTCTTGTTGGGGGAGCTGGGCTCTGAGCCCCTTAGGGAAGCCGGGGAGGCCCAGGGATGGCTTGACCTGCTGGGGGTTCCGGGTCACCCAGCCCAGCCCAGGTCACTGACTCCTCTGACTCCAGTAAATGGAGAGTAGGGATGCAGCCCAAGGTTAAGTAGCAATGAGTGCAAAGTGAGAGCGAGAGGCCAGCATCTACGCAGCTTGTGCTTCTGTAATTCCTGCTCTGCACATCCTTTCAATGCTATGTAAAGAGTGTCTTCGGGGCAGGGCTGATGCACGCTGGGTCTGCTCAGTGCCAGATGGGTTGTTTATACCCAATCTCTGATCTGATTAGTTAGACCTGTGCAATACAGGATTATGACATATTTTTAATATCACCCGAACCTCCAGGACTTTTTACCTGGTGAGCATTGGAGCAGGAGAGCAGCAGAGAGACCCAAAGCCTTTGCTTACGACACCGAAATTTACTAGTCACCTACTATGTTTCAGATCTTGAGACTTGCCTGCAGTCCCTAAACCTCAGGTCTTGCATGGCGTAGTGCTGCCAGGTAGGAACTCTGAGTCCCAGCTACCATCCAACCCCATAAAAGGCTCAGTAAGGAAAAAAGGCTGCAGAGTTAACCCCACCAAATCCCAGAGTTCCTTCTGCTGTGTTGACGCCCCTCCCCCACTGCTTTCTGCCACCAACTTGTTTGTGGGTCATTGAAAGGGAAGGGAACTGCAACAGCGGGAAATCCAAGCCTCCTAACTTCTGTTTATTCGAATTCACTCATCTTTTGGGAGGGAGGTTACCTTCCCTTTGAAGTTTTTGTCTTTAGATCTTTATTTAGAATGAACTTCAACCTCTTTTGTGCTTCTACAGCTATTTGTACAGCAACCAGTACAATCTCCATAGCGGTTCCCATAGTTGTTTACAATGTCTTCCCCAACCAGACGGGATCTCCTCTAAGAATTTGTCTTTGTCTTTAGAGGGCCTGAGAGTGGCTGGCACATAATGGGGCTTTATAAATACTTGTTAAATAATGATAATAATAAAAGCAACCTGAATGACTAAACACAGAAAAATGAATGAGTAAACAAACCCATTCCTTGCCTCCTGGTCCCCGAAGGCATCACTTAGTTATGTTGCCTACCTGGCTCCTGGTGATATTTGTGTTCCAGACCCCTGCTGTAGGTGATAATTCATTAGAATTGCGATCAGCTGGAGTGTCAGAAAGCCCTGACAGAGCAGTGAATTAATTAGTCAGGATAGAAGTTTATTTCTTTCTCATGGGGAAGTTTGGGAGAAAAAGGCAGGGTTTGTACCGTGACCCGTGGAATGTTTCTATCTTACGGTTTATGACCTCCATTGCCAAGGTCATTTCATGGCCTAGGATGGTTACTCCAACTTCGGTCATCACATCTATATTTCATACTGCAGGAAGGAAGAAAGGATGATGAAGAGCATGTCACTACCTTTAAGGATCCTGATAAAAGTTGCATACTTCATTTCTAGGTGAATCTCATTGGCCAGACCTGAGTTGTGTGACCATACCTTGCTGCAAAGGAGGTTGGGAAATGTAGTTTTTATCTGAGTAGCCACGTAAATTGTGGTTGTATTATTAGAGAAGAAGGAAGATTGAAGAACAACACACAACTTCTGTCATAGGACTCATTTAAGGGTTTTTATTTGGTCTTGTTTATTTGGTAAAGGAGTGACTAGATCAAATCTAATTTAGAAAGATGAATATGGCGCCTGGAAAGGAGAAGGGATTCGTGAAAGGAGACTGGAGGCAAGGAGACCAGTAGGAGGTGGTTGTACAAGTCCAGAGACGAGGAGGACTTGAATCAGGACAGTAGCAGGGGCTGGAAAGAAGGTGATGGGTTCGTGAAGCCACTTGGCAGTAAGTAGGCAATGCTGGTGTCTAAGGTTGTAGAGAGAGAGGAAGGAGTGTAGAATTAGCCCCTGATTTTTGATCTGGGGCCCTTGGAAATGGGAAGTCATTGACTGATTTGGGAAATGCAGGAAGACCCCAGGGGGTAAGCACTGGGCTGAGAGCCCTGATTTTGATTTGAGAATCTAAAAAGCTGGGCACCTCCTCAGAAGGAAGCTCGCAGGGTCACTTGCAGCAGTCATTAGGGGGTGGGTGCTTAGTAGCATGAGTACAATGGAGGAGGAAGCCCAGTTGGGGGCGGGGCAGATCCCCGTCCTCTCCCTAGTACTGAGGTCACCATGCTGTCAATGGGCCCTCATTGTCTTAGGGGCTGCCAACCAATTCTTCAGAGTTTCAAGACAGAAGTAATTTCAATTTCCCTCTAATTAAAAGGAGCGTATCAGTGTGTGCTTGGACCCTGCTGCGGCTGGAGAGGGGAGGGGGCTTCCCAAATCCACTGCCAAGCCTCTAGGCGGCATCCTGACTCTGGCGGGAGGAGTTGGGGTGTCTGGGGAGGGGCCGCCACGTGCCAGCTGGCTGTGCCAAGTGTAGGAGCAGCACGCCTGGGGTTCCGCCATGTGTTTGTTTATTTGGTTTGGCTGATGTAAAACATACACACACAGACTCACTGCCTCAGGGCCTGTGTGCAGAGCCCATGTTCAATCTTCAACTAAAATCGGAAACAGCACAGGGGAAAAACAGAAAGTCAAAATTAGGAGAATGCAACCAGGTAGCAGAGCTCATTCATTCATTCATTCATTCAGCAAATGAATGCCAGACACGACACAAGGCACTGGGCTACAATAAAACTCAATCCCAAGGAAGTTAAAGACAGGGTTGAGGAAAGAGACAAGGAAAGAGGCCTGATTTCAGCACAACGTGAAAGGCGCTCGACACAGGTCACAGCACATCTTCAATCTTGGCATTTCGATCCTGGACTAAAATCTAAATGGGCTTCCCTAATATCTAACCAGACTTTCATCCCCAAACCCCTGCCCCAAGCTCAGGGCGTTCCAAGCAGCCACAGGATCACCTCGCTCTCAGGTCTTCCCCTGCACCTTCATTTCCCCTGCTTGGCGACTTCTTCCCCGTGTTCTCTGCCACTTCCCACTTGGCCTCGGAGGCCCAGTGACATCGTCTCTGGGGGTAGCCTTTACAGACCATCCTCTGCGTCCTCAAGCGCGTCCTCATTGCCGGGCCTCGTCAACCTCTCCTTTCACAGTTCACCTGGCCACTTCCTCTGTGACCTGTGAGCCACTTGAGCAGAGACAGATCTTGTCCACATGTCTATCCTGGCAGTTCATCGAGGCCTGGCACAGAAATGCTCTCAATAAATCCCGTCCAAATGAACAGACGTTGTTTCGGGCCACCATGGCTCGCCTCAGTGTGCTACAATTAAAATGCCCTTGGATCCAGAGTCGACCCCGAGCTCTGTCGCTCCGACTGGCCAGGTCCCCTCTCTGAGCCTCAGCCTTATCCCCAAGCTGAAGCCGATCCTATTCCATGAGTGGCCTTATGTGAAAAGCTTTCTTTCATGTGTGTTCACCTTTCTTTAATGTACATGGAGAGAGTCTTTCTAGTATTATCATTGTTAGAAGACAGGGCTCTAATGAGTAAGGACACAAATCCTGAGTTCAAATTCTTTTTATTTTATTTTTTTATCCTCACCCAAGGACATTTTTTCCATTTTTGTTCAGATAGAGTGGGAAAAAGAGAGAGAGAGAGACAGACAGAGAGAGACAGAGAGAGAGAGAGAGAGAGAGAGAGAGAGAAACATCGACGTGAAAGGGACACATCGAGTGGCTGCCATACGCACGACCCAACCAGGGCCAGGGACAAACTGCAACTGAGGTACATGCCCTTAGCGGGAACCAATCCTGGGTCTCTCTGGACCGCAGGCCAACGCTCTAACTGCTGAGCCAAACCGGCCAGGGCCTGAGTTCAAATGCTTAAGAAGTCCCCTGGGAGTCCTGGAGTGCCCGTCTCCAGGGAGCTACCTTTGTGGCTCTGGTGCTACATTTCCTGCAGGTGAGACAATCGTGACTGTTCTCCCTCTGGCCGTGTCCTCTGACCACTGCTCTTGGTGAGCAGCGGGGTCTTCCCATGGTCCTTTCTCTGTGTGCGTGTGTCCCTGGTGTCTTCTTGTATCCAAATTTCTTCTTCTTATAAGGACACCAGTTACCTTGGTTAGGGCCCACCCCGAGGGCCTCATTTTAACTTTATCACCTCTGTAAAGGCCAATCCCCAAATACAGTCACATTCTGAGCTGCTGGTGGTTAGAGCTTCCGCAGATGAAGCTGAGAAGTACATCGTTCAGCCCTAACAGCCATTCACAAGTGCTGCCTCTTTGTAGGGTGACCAACTCATCCAAGTCCGCCTGGGATTTTCCTGGTTTTAGCACTGACATTCCCACATGTCAGGAAATGTGTCAGTCCTGGGCAAACTGGGAAGATTGGGGACTCTAGCTCATCCAGAAGCCTTACCTGAATCCTTCCCAACATATATACTAGAAGGACTAGACAAACCCAATATGCATCCAGCAGCCATCCTTCCTAGAGAACCTACACATCCATTCGCTTGCTTGATCCTTACTTCAGCCTTGTGAGGCAGGTGGGGCAGGAAAACAATATTCAAGTTACACAAAGGGGGAGATAGGTTCAGAAAGGGTCATCTTTGCCCCCCTCCCCCAGCCATGTGTACCTTTGTCCTGGTTCTTTCATTACCAGGTGCTTCATAGATCAAGAGCCAGGAAATGACGTGTATGTTTCTTTCCACCCCTGTCTGAGGGCCTAGGTGAGAGGTAAATACCAGGATGTATCAGTGAGCAAGAACTGACATTTCTCCGCACTCATATAAATTGGAGAAATTGAACAGACAGCCACACGCGCAGTACTTGGGAGGGGAGTGGTTGGGCCTTACAGAGCAAACGCCTCTGAATGGCAAGCAGGTGGG